GTATTACGGAGATCGCGTCACAATGTGAGGCGGTATGGACCATCAAATTCACATACATCATAAGTAAAACGACGAAAGATTAAAACGTATCGATTGTATCTCAAAACATAGTCTCGAATTGAAAGGCGAACAATAGGACAATGTATCACTGTTTTGCGCAGACATCGCATACATTATTAAGTGATGAACAAAATTAAGGAAAGGTAGCACCTGTCTCTTATACACATCTGTGGGGGGCAGCTGTCTACAGTGGGGGGCAGCTGTCTACAGTGGGGGGCAGCTGTCTATAGTGGGGGCGTGAAGACAACTGAAAGTGTTGCTTTATGGACGAAGAACATATTCACTGGGAGGGATGAGACAGGTTGCACGGAGGGTTGCACGGAGGGTTGCACGGAGGGTTGCACGGAGGGTTGCACGGAGGGTTGCACGGAGGGTTGCACGGAGGGTTGGACGAGGGTTGGACGAGGGTTGCACGAGGGTTGCACGGAGGGTTGCACGAACAGGGGAGCAATATTGTAGACAAGAAGACTACATGTGGACAGACAGGTACAGACGGGACAGACTGTACAGGCGGTGCAGACGTAAAAAAATAATTTTAAGCAAAATTTCGCAGAACAAAAATATTCCCAATATTCTTATATTTTGTAAAATAATTTCGAATTAACCATCGAAAATCGGCGTTTGAGCTAATTATTGAAATTGAAAGTCAGTCAGTATTTAACTGGCAGCGACCGACTGCTGTGGCTTTCCTTGTTGAAATACGAAATTCAAAAAGGTTTTTTCCCTACGTACGAAATGCAAATACGTGCGTAGTGAAAAAATCATTATCATCATCTGCTCTATATATAATCGTCCCGCATGACAATGAGGATTATATTTATGAATTGTAATATTCTTCGAATTATCTAAATTGTTTTATAAGAAGCTGACATTAATGGAAAAGCTGAAATTATAAAGCATGAGCAGACGTATGCTGCGTGAAGCAACATGTGATGTATGGAATCATCATGTGAAGTCACTCATCATGTGATGTATGGCATGTATCATGGCGCACGTTGCATGACATTATCATGTGTTACGCCTGTCCTTATAACACCGGATACCCATTTATATATAACGAGTCATATATTCATCGCCTCCTCATATACCACGAGTGACTTATACACCGCCTTAATAATAAATTGTAAAGAATGTAGTCCACTTAACATAATCAATATTCTCGACACCATTACGGTAACCGACGATCGCCGTTGAGTCTCTCAGCGATTAATTACGCTTTATTCCAGAGACTGGAAATAACTTGAGCAAGACCATTACTCGCAACTGGGAGATATTGAGCCTTGGTCGCAATTTATTCATCACGACAATAGTGAGAGGAACGACGAGAACAGATCACAGAAATAGTGATAGTAACGGTTGAGCCATTCAAAAGCGAAATACTGTGCCGTGACATCATGCAGTGCGGGCTGTGCATCTATACAGAGTATTAGCATCTACAGGTGCCCAACCACCCTAAAGAAGAAGGCTTGATTAGGATTCACGAATATAAATAATTATATATAATTATACTTATTATTGGGACTCCATGAGGAGGTTGACAATGCATGAAGGGACCAATGCAGCCAACGAAGACAATGAAAATAATTGTGACTAGAAAATGATTGCCGTGAAGCGAAGCCCTCCGCAACGGCAACTATATAAAGAACAACTGCGAGGGACGAACAAGTGTTTATGGTTTCAACGATTACAAAATTGGTGAACACGCAGCCTAACCGAGAACATGTTTACGAATATACGGCCTGAACCGAGAACATGTATGTAAATCTAAATGAATCTTGTATACTTTAAAGATACGCAGCCAGCAATAAGTTATGTTGGAGCAGCGAATGAACAACACCTCTAGCTGGCAAATAAATCACGTGAAATGAACTAATAACAAAATTTATCACATACTTGAACCACGCTAGCTTATCATTAAGATCAATTCAATTTTTTTCGAATAGTCTACAAAAATTTGAAGCGTATTTTGAATTATTTCTACTTTCCCTTATAATTAGAAGCGAAGAAACTACAAGCGAGGTCGTTGTAAGCGTGGCGAATCTTTCAAGTTGAACGCGTTAAAGTTACATGAGCAGACGCAAGCTTACATGTACAGACGTGGGATTATAAGATTAGACGTGTGAGGTAAGCGAGTGCCATGAAATAAACTTACTTTGCGTGTTCTCGACGTACAAACATCGTAAGCGTCATAATAAACGGATTCTTTGATCTACACAAAATTTTGGGCGCACGATTTTTTTGCACTAATCACTACAATTTTGCACGAATTAAACCAATAAATGTTTGTACGCCACTAACTTAGGGCGCATAAACTTCATTTCTCAACCCTTATCAAATTTAGAATAAATATTGTACGCGAGTGAAGCATCACACCATTAAAATAAATTAATATACAGCACAACTTAATGACATCTGTGTTATGTTGAACTGTCTAGGTAGTCGAGAGAGAAGCTTATGGAAGTTTCTAGTATACTAGTCAGGCTATATACCATCTTATGGATGATAGGTTCCAGACTGTAATCAAATCGGCAGTCATAGTGGTAATTCAGATGAGTCGACAAAAATAAAAGATTTTAAATAGCAACTGAACTTCGAGGGAAAAAAATCGCAGAGGATGTAAGCAGCTATAAGGCCGAGATGGGTACAGCTAAGGCTTAGTTACATATACCGCACCAGATACGCAAAATGCACCGCTAATAAAAGGGGCACTGCTACGGCAAGGCTAAGAACAACTTTGGTAATGAACGCGAAAGTAACTTTAGGCAACACTATCGCATGTGGGACTAGACTCTGTTCAACAGAGATGCACGTGGCATGGCGAAGCAAGATTCAACAGATGCACGTGGCATATTCAACAGATGCACGTGGCATAAGTGATGAAGTAAGACGAGTGGACACCCACCAGCACCCTGGCTGGGCACGTGGACATGTCCAGAGAAGGGCGGCGCCCCTGGTATGGTCAGCAAGTTGCCAAAGGCAGCACCAGCAGGCTCAGGGTGGTCAGCACAAGTTTCGTCATGGTGGTGGTCAACCATGTCCTCCCCGTCGTGGTGGCCACCATGGAACGGGTGACGGACCCCCGAAAACAAGTCCATGAACTCGTGGACTGTCGTAACGAGAGACTTGAGTCCTCAGCTCCGTAACATATTTGAGCTCCAAGTCCATGAAGTACCCACGCCCTCAAGCACTCAAGTTTATAAAAAACTGAGTTTTCGAATTCGTGAAATATTCAAGTTCATGAGTCCTCGAGTTACTTGAATCCTAGGCCCCTCCTAATCCTAGGTACTTAAATCCTAGGCCGAGGTCCCTGCTAAGAGTTCTGGACACAATATCCCCTTCCCTCCGTCTGCCGACTGGTCCACACGGGCAAATATTTTTGCAGAATTTTAACCTAGGGTCAGAATTTTGACATATTAAACCACGTTGAAAAATTAACCATAGTAATGTTCCACAGCCACGCTGAGAAATAAAAATCAAGCCGCCTTAACCTTAAAAAAAATTCAGAGGCGTGAGCGACCCTGCATTATATAGGGCCGCCTAGGACTCTGGGAGCACGTAAATTAGCTTCTCTTCCCTATGTCTGCTTCGGCTCAGGGTTAGAAGGGCAGCCACTGGGCAGCTTGCTAGCTATGACTCGGCTCTGCAAACCCTTGTCATACTCTCAGGCGACTATAAAGTTGGAAAGGAGATTCTGACCAGAAACTGATATTTCGATCGGGTGGCCTATCAGACCCAGAATAACTTTGCGCCGAGTGTATAGTGACTATTCGACAGAAGCCTAGCTAGCTATACCCTATCCATATTTTGATTTGGCGGCGACCGTGAATTAGGAACCGCCTAGGACTCGGACCGAACGTAAATCAGCTTCTCTATGTCCGCTTTTTGGTCTACATTCCGGCCCCCGAATCAGACAGCTACCAGAGCCTGGTGAGGGGACTGAGGGGATTCTGCCAACTCTTGTCCTACTCTCAGGAGACTATAAAGTCGGCCAGGAGGTTCTGACTAGTCGCTGATTGCGATCAGGTGGCCAACCAGACCCAGGATAACTCTAACGCAAACATAGCAACTCTGGGGCGGAGGCTAAAGCATACCCCGAATTTAGTTAGGGTAGTTGGCCCCTTAATTTTGTTAGGGAAGACGAGCAACGAAAATCGTCACTAAACAATCGAGTGTTGCATGACATCAATTCATCAAACACGGAATATTCGTTCCAACGCACGCAAATGCAATAATTTAAGTATTGAAGTTAATGATAACATCAATATAAAGTCAATAAAGAATTAAATCAAGCACCATAATATGCATAATATGAAGGAGAACAAATATGTAATTCAATCAAGTATTAAATCAGTTGTGGAAGATAATATATGCGTAAAATTAATCAAGTAGCAAATCAAGTACCAGAATGAGAAAGGAACACCTAGAGTTAGCTTTTCAAGTCATATACATATTCTACTTATTGGCCAACATCTCAAGACAATCTGAAAAAATTAACCATACTTAGTAGGAGGCAAGCGCCATATGCAGGTGTTGTAAGCAAGAAATGTTGTAGGTGTGTGAGGAAAACATGTAATTAAATACGGCACAACACACAAGGCTTTTTAAACATGTACTGATACAATGACATGATATCGACCACTAAACATGCCTCATAATCAACGAGCGATTACATGTACGGTTGAATATAGAATACTTGTTTCCTCGTACACAGTTACTTCACTATAACTCAGAACCATTTAGAATGAGCAAAATCAATACTAATAGGAAGAGAGGCTATGAGTATGAAAGACCATTCAATTTTAAAGTAGTCAGAAAATCGTGTAAAACTTGAAGATTTTTCAGGGAGCGTTAGCTCAAGAAATAAACCGTCAAGGTTCACCTCCAAAAGCCCAGACATTGTCCATGTTATATCAATATTAAGAGAACATTGCGCAATTATTATATACAGAACCATAGTCACCAGTGTACACACTCTATTATCATCAAGAAAGATAAATGATGCAATAGTTATATTCATGACACCAGTTCAACACTCCCTGGATTAGAGGTTAAGATAACTAGTTTCGAGTCAAATACTACTATCATTAGAGAAGAGTTTTTCTATCATCACGAAGAGTGTTTCTTAATTAAATAATGTAATTTCTAACATCACTGAGAGTGTTTCTTAATTAATGTAATTTCTAATATCTTACATGAATATAGTCTTACTTTTAGAGCTGCTGTGGTTCCGGCCGATCTCGGCAAGGCTGCGTATGAGAGGCAGGTTAGACATGCTCTTGCCGCCCTCCTTGGTGCTGCGTTCGTAGAGATGTTTGTGACGACGCATGATAACGTCTTTCAGCTGCACAAACGTGACTTGCGTCATATACAAGTGACCGCAAACATGGCACAAACACAATTTGCGTCAAACACAAGCGACCGCAAACATGGCACAAACACAATTTGCGTCAAACACAAGCCACCGCAGACATGGCACAAACACAAGCGTCCACAAACATGGCATAAACACAACTTACGTCAGACACAAGCAATCACAAACATGGCACAAACACAACATGAGTCAAACACAAGCGACCACAAACATGGAACAAACACAACTTACGTCAAACAAAAGCAACCACAAACATGGCACAAACACAACATGAGTCAAACACAAGCGACCGTAAACATGGCACAAACACAATATGAGTCAAACACAAGCGACCGCAAACATGGCACAAACACAATTTGCGTCAAACAAAAGCAACCACAAACATGGCACAAACACAATATGAGTCAAACACAAGCGACCGCAAACATGGCACAAACACAATTTGCGTCAAACACAAGCGACCGTAATCTTGGCACAAACACAAGCGACCACAAACATGGCACAAACACAAGTGACCGCAAACAGAATCGACAGCCCAGAGCATCTAACACTAACAGGAAGTAGGTACAAACACTATAACATAAGCACAAAGTGTTTGTGCTACCTGCACCAACACAACAAACGTCCATGTGAACGCACTGTATATGAATCTCGTGACTTTTTCATTCTCGTTGTGAAATAGCCTGAGATTTTATTATATTCAATATAAATCCACTTAATGACTAACATTAAACATAATTAATGACGTTAAAATTTAACCGAAACACGAAATGACATGAGCCATTTAAGCTCGCGAGATTTATTCTTTTTTATACGCTACTTTATAGCTACAATAAAAGGTATAGCTATAGCTACTCAATTATTAAATTATATATTGCTTTACGTAAACTAAAAGAGTAACTGCGACCTATACTTCAGGCTTAATTGTGGCAGTGATGTAGGCCAATTATTGAGGCTTGAGAATATGAGTAACCTAATGCTTGTAATTAAGGCTTAATTATGGAAGTGTGTGCGGCTTATATTCAATGCTTCATTAAAAGAGAAGTTGAGGATGATTATAATGGTTATTACCTACAGCTTATAATTAAGGCTTAATTATGAGAGTAATTGATGTTCACGAACTCGTTTCATGCTTATGGCCGTTCTTAATTATAGAATTAATTAAAGCTAATAATCAATTATAAATTTTATTAATGCTTACGAGCTCCTTGTTCTCGTGCTCACAATTAAGTCTTAATTAAATAATTATTTAAGGCTAATAATTAATTAAACTAATTATTAATGCTCACTAGCTCCTTGTTCTCAGGCTCGAGTTGCTTCTTGTTGACGAGCGCCTCGATGGCGAGCTCGGCGACCTGCTCGATGCTGATGGCGTCCATGTCGAGCAGCACGACGCCCTTCATCAGGAACGACCGCAGCTCGAAGAGAGCGTGCAGCGACAGCGTCGCCACGTGGGGCTTGGACCAGCGCTCCCCACCTTCCTCTACGTCCTCCTCAAACTTCACCCATCTGTTGGGGGAGGTAATATTGTGAATTAAAGGTTAAATCCTCAGGGGGAATAGAAGCGCTCCCCACCTTCCTCTACGTCCTCCTCAAACTTCACCCATCTGCAGGGGAATAATTATTCCCTGAAATAATTATGCCCAAAAGAGATTAATAATTCCCTCATAATAATAGTAATATTGTGAGTAATATTGTGAATGTAAAATTATATATTGTGAATGTAATTTTGTAATATTGTGAGTAATATTGTAAATGTAATTTTGTAATATTGTGAATGTAATATTGTGAAGTAATAGAGTAATATTGTGAATGAAAGCCTAACTCATCAGGGGAATGGAAAATATGCCTTCGCCGAGTAGAGATTTTATTTCCAAGTGGACTTCGCCCATAAGATGGGATAGGATAATGATATGCATATACGGACTCTGCCATCTGCGAGACAGGACATAACACAAGGAACGCGTCCATTAGGGTAGAGGAGAGGTGATATCACAACCAATAGCCACCAACACCCATTTGGCCGCACTTTTATTTGGGAGGAAAAGTGGCACCACCAAATGTCCCCAACAGTGCCACCACCACCCAACCTGCTGCATCCATCTGGGCGGAAGGAAATGTAGCACCACCACCTGTCACTAGACTCCACCACCCAACCTGCTGCATCCATCTGGGCGGAAGGAAAGGTAGCACCACCACCTGCCACTAGACTCCACCACCCAACCTGCTGCATCCATCTGGGCGGAAGGAAAGGTAGCACCACCACCTGCCACTAGACTCCACTCGACGCTGCAGAGGCTGACCTCTCTGGGCTTCTACGCCCTCAGACTGAACGACCGCCAAGAAACTGACCGTGGCACCTGGCAAGTCTTCCGTCACGCCCTTCGCCCCAGACACTCACCAATCCCGCCTACACTCTTCTACAATAATCTGCAATGGCATCATCTCTCTAGATAAAAACACCAAAATCCTAGGCGTTACCTGGGATACCCACTATAGTATACGTTCTCTCCTCATGTTCAGAGCCATAGCCACCAAAGCAACAGGTTCCATACGCATCTTAAAAGCCCTTGCCAGCACCAACTGGGGTTTCTCTAAGGAGGACATCATTGCCATCTAGCGGACAATTACGCGCCCATTCCTCAATTATGCAGCCCCCATCTGGTACCCTGTCACCTCACGCACTGCAATAGCAAGCCTACAAACCATCCAAAACTCAGCCCTAAGACTAGCCACCGGCTGCCTCATTAAGGCCCCAATCGCCCATCTCCACCATGAGACCGGCGTCCTTCCCTTGTCCGCTCACCTGGACCTGGCTTGTGCCCAGTTACTCGCCAGTGCCCTCCAGCCCTCCCATATACTTCTTTCCACATCGCCTCTGCTCCTCTCGGAGACCGCCCCATGAAAGCCTCCATCAAGTCAAGATTCGGCCACCTTGTAGCGCCTTTCCTATCTGACGGCATCATGCCCGACGGTGTCTTTGGGGAAAACGCTCCCTCCGCAGAGAGATCGCCTCCCACATTGCGGCGACTGACGCCATAAACGCCGTCCTCGCAGCCCCGCCACCGCCGATTGCATCAGTGGAGGTCTCGCTCCCTCGCCCCTACCGCTCAGCGCAATCCCAGCTCCGCTCGGGATACTGCAGCTCCCTGGCGTCCGACTCAGCCAGGATCGGACGCACTCCTAGCGCCGCCGGGGATCCCCTCCAATCCGTGCAGCATCTCTTCGCCTGCCTCGCCTTCCCTACGTCCCACAGCGTATTCTCATTGTGGGACAGCCCCGTGGAGGCGGCGGCGTTCCCGGCCACCCTCCCTGCCTTCGCCCATCTCCCCCTCTTAAGGTATCTCTCCACGGCCACCACCAGAGCCTCCACCCCCGCGAGCGTGACGTCGGCGCAAGAAACAACAACTAGGAGTCACCACCACCACCACCCACCTGGCGGTCTCCTTCCACTCGTACTGCCCATCAACGGTAACGAGCGTCTCCATCTCAGAGAAGATGGGGTGCACGGCGTGGCTGCTGCCGTCATCCTGCTCCTCGCCCAGGATGAACTGCACCCGCGTGCTGGGGTCCTCCACTGCAACACAGCACACGTCACTGCACCTCACTACCTCCACTGCAACACAGCACACGTGACTGCACCTCTCTAGCTTCACTGTACACGTCACCATATCCAACACTCGCATCACTAGCTTCACTGTACACGTCACCATCAGAACCAACAGGCCTCCCCAAAAGTTAATTGCGATCCCTAAAAAATCCTATAGATTGTCGCGAAAATTTTTGGGATCCCCTCCAAGATTTCAGTAAGAATGTAATAAAACATAATGTCCTTATTCTGAAGAACATTCCCAAAAACTAGCTAAAAATTACTTAAGTGTATATAATTTTCTTGCACTTGAAACTTTGAGTTTTAAGGACGGTGAAAAATCATCCAAATAAGTAAAGTTAGACGGAGAAAATGATGCTCCTGACAGCTTAGAATAGCGCATAAAATTTTCTACGAGAAGTTTTTTGCTTGCAATAATTGCGATGAAAAGAGTAAGTAGTGTCGAGACCATGCGTCACATTAGATGTTTTGCTACAACTGTAGAAAACAAACGAGATTTTTAATTGAAGCGACATTAAAGTGATGAGTAGAGACTTCAAAATGAAGACTAGAGACATCAAAGTGAAGTGAAGAAACATGCAAGCGAAGTTAAGAGAAATTCAGGCAAGATAAAAAACATTAAAGCTAAATGATGAGGCATAAATTGAAGTGAAGAGACAGAAGAAATAAGATGACATTTACAGCAAGGTTCCCATGCAATAAACAACTGTTCATAGGCCGCGGAAAGTCATGAGAAAAGAACATCTCGCGAATTCCCGAGTTTGCATTGCGTCAATCGCTTTACTCATGAAGAACGGCATGAAAGAAAACTATATAATGTTAAAATAAATCTGTAAAATATTAAAATTCACCCTGAACTCGAAGAAGAATGGGGTGTCGCCCTACTGAACAGTGCAATAAGTTGAGAGCTGCTCGAGAGTTGAATATGCATTCAATACAATACAGTCTGTTTAAATACAATACAATTCATCATACAGGCCAAGCCATGCAACTCAAACTTATACTACTTATTAACTCGTTAGTGCTAAATGAGACCGCGATTATTATTCGGCCATGACTCGCGTCTTGGCCAAAACTTCAAGGGGACCAAGTTTTGTTACCCTATATAAGCAGTGGTTCCAACTTAGGATACTTTAATCATTTTTCTGGAGTTGTATTTTTTTTTCTTAGTTTTAAAGTATCTATAGTGTATTAATTCGGTCACGTAAATCAAATTTTCGAAATGAATACAAGGCTAGGAATCACAGACCCACAAATGCAATCAGAAGCAGTCGCCCTGCATGCGTATATAGATAAGCTAAGAAGTAAACAACGAGACAAACGTCAGTCACGTCACTCAGAGCCACGTGGTAAATAGGGTACACTAGGTGACTTGGCAGCTACAGGGTACACTATAATTAAATTGGTAGTTAGGGGACACTAATTAACTCATCAGTTGGAGTTCAATTTTCAACCAAGTCAGCTATGTCACTAGTCAACTAAGTCAGCAAGGTTACACTAGTCAACCTAGTCAGCTAGGTTACACTAGTCAACCTAGTCAACTAGGTTACGCTAGTCAACCTAGTCAGCTAGGTTACGCTAGCCAACCTAGTCTGCTAGGTTACGCTAGTCAACCTAGTCTGCTAGATTACGCTAGTCAACCTAGTCAGCTATGTTACACTAGTCAACCTAGTCAACTAGGATACGCTAGTCAACCTAGTCTGCTAGGTTACGCTAGTCAACCTAGTCTGCTAGATTACGCTAGTCAACCTAGTCAGCTATGTTACACTAGTCAACCTAGTCAACTAGGTTACGCTAGTCAACCTAGTCAGCTAGGTTACGCTAGCCAATCTAGTCTGCTAGATTACGCTAGCCAACCTAGTCTGCTAGATTACGCTAGTCAACCTAGTCAGCTATGTTACACTAGTCAACCTAGTCAGCTAGGTTGCACTAATCAACCTAGTCATCAAGCTTACACTAGTCAACCTAGTCAGCTAGGTTACACTAGTCAACATAGCTCGGTTACACTGGTCAACCTAGTCAGCTAGGTTACACTACCGTAGTCAACCTAGTCAGCTCTGTTCGAACATCTCAGCCAAGTTACACTAATCAACATTTTCGGCTAGGTTATACTAATGAACCTTGGTAACGAGATTACACTAATCAAACTAATCAGTTCTCAGTTAGGTTACACTAATCAAACTAATCAGTTCTCAGTTAGGTTACACTAATCAAACTAATTAGTTTTCAGTTAGGTTACACTAATCAAATTAATCAGTTGTCAGTTGGGTTACACTAATCAAACTAGTCAGTCGTCAGTTAGGTTACAATAATCCACCTGGTCAGTTAGGTTGCACTAATCCACCCAGTCAGCAGCTCGCACTAATAATCTATCTCATTATATTAATCAATGAGTCTAAGTGATGCAAATCAAGCTAAGCAGACCAAGCGGCAGTGCGGATGCAAGGTGGGTCCGGGCGACTCACCCCGGACGGTTTCGTCCACATTATTGATGGAAGCTACGATGGTAGATTTGTAGTGTGTCAATCAATTGCCAATTATACATCGAATTAAAATTGTTCACAAAAATTTACCATCGAATATATTCATGCTAAGCGAATGTCAACGAATCGCCAATTCTAAATTAAATTTGAATAAGCTATTCTTATTAAATTTAAAAAAATATGCATATATGTTAGGTTTATTAATTTGTTTTGTGTGGAAAAAATTGCAAATTATCAATTTAAATCTAATTATTTAAGGTAACGTTTAAAAAAATACTTGAGTTTAGAGGTATTTTGCATCTAGAATATCAATCAAATAAAATTAGGTTTTCGAATGATCCTTTTTACTTATTTATATTTACCAATTTGTTTTGTGTCAAAGAATCGTTAATTATCGATTAAGCTCAAATTATCCGTTAGAAATACTGATAAATACCAAAACATTACAAAATATTCACAAGTACGTTAGTATACATTCATGTGTCATGGGGCGTACTTTAAAAACTCTTTCACGTATACGTAGCGGCCTAAGTACACGTGTACTTTCACGTACACGTAGCGTCCTAAGTACACGTGTACTATTTCACGTACACGTAGCGTCCTAAGTACACGTGTACTTTCTAGGCCCCACGTGACCCACTAGGCCCCACGTGACCCACTAAGCCCCACGTGACCCACTAGACCCCACGTGACCCACTAAACCCCACGTGACCCACATGACCCACCAGGCCCCACGTGACCCACTAAGCCCCCACTACTCACTGGGTCCATCGTTAGGCTTGTTGTTCTGCTGGTGGTGACGGTGGTGACGATGGTGGCGGTGGCGGGAGCGTTTCTTGTGCTGCATGGAGCTGGGCAGCTGGTAACCCACATACACTGAGTGGGCTCTGTGGCCCTCATAGTCGTCGGCGCTGGACGTGTGGTGGGCGGTGATGCCGGGGTCCCTGGACCCTTCGTCCCCAGCGTCCTCCCCCAGCAGGCTGCGCTCGTCCTTACGACTCATCGCTCACTTGGTTTGTCTGCAGGCCAGGGAGAGAGGAAAATTAATTTACGAATTAATTAATTTACTAATAATTTACGAATTTAGGAAATTAATTTACGACTCATCGCTGACTTGGTTTATCTGCAGACAAGGGAGAAACAAATTAATTTACGAATAAAATTACGAATAAATCATTAAAGATTTTAGGAATAAATAAAGATTTATGGGAATGGGAATAAATGAAGATTTACTTTATTTATTAAAAATTTACGAATAATTTACGAATTTTTAGTTCACGACTCATCGCTGTCTTAGTTTATCTGCAGGCGAGGGAGAGAGGAAAGGATTTGTGTCGAGAAGATAACAGAGATAAGGGCAACGAGTGAAAATTGTAAGAGGAATCGCTAGGAATTTATAAATCAGGTCGAAGATTTGAAGTAAAGGAATGGTCGATGATGGAGGAGGAGTTAAGGTTTTAATTGAAGACACTTTTTGAAATTTTAGGTTTAGAGACGATCTTACTGTTCACGTCCGCACTCTAGGAACGCTGCGCTAGTTATTGTTTGGTGCGGAGACGTGACGGAGGTACGTGTCTTGTACTAGTGAAGGATTTCAAGGGTAGCTATATCGTGTATATACTATTGTGAATATATTTAATGAGAATAATGTGTTCATATGATCTTTGTTGTATATATTTATCATTCGTAGGAACCTTGTGATCTTTAGCATTTTGTTCATTAGGTTTGTTTTGTTTATTTTCAGGAAAGTTTAGGGCTTGAACTTGAACATTAAATAAGGAATACAAGTGGAGTTTGAATTTCCTCGGAACACGAACAAGAAGTGGGTTGAAATTACGATCATGAGCCTCATTTAACGCTGATGCTTGGGCCTAGTTGGCATTTAGAGTGAGCCCACAGCAGAGGTCAGCAAGATAAGGGTTAAATGGTAACATGAAGAGGATGAAACCCTCAAGACAGAGAGGGAGCAGGGATAGGTGGGGTCAAATTGACAATTAATTTCACGAATGAAAGGAGAGAATAATTGCGTCATGTTAGAGGGAAATTAGATAGGTATGTCGGGACACATAAGTCTGGTGTTTTTCAGACACTCAACGCAGTCAGGATTAGTGGTTCCCAAGCCTATTTCCTTCATCACCCAATTAAACAGGTATACGAGTATAATAAGAGTCGCGAAATTCCTTCCACAAATGTTTTCAACGTTTATAGGTATGACTAAATCAAATTACTTGTCCTAGCATTTTACCTGATAATTTATTAAAAAGTACGCATATTTGCGGAACATATGCGTAGTGACAGCGCAGTATGGTGGTCGCAAACTAACCTATGGTCGTAACCTGCAATGGGAGTAAGCTCGACGATTGTCGTAAATCTTCATGTCACAAGACAGGTGCAAAAATAGAGTTACGATGTAGTATTTATTTTGTATAGGAACGCTATCGTATAGTTGATTATCAATTTATTTTATGGAAAAAATGCCTATATTGTTTTAATTTAGCTGTGGTTATCACCATGAATGTTTGTGAGCGGAATAACGAGCGTATTGTGGCATATTAATTAAAGTCGGTAACGAGAAATTCAGCGGATATAGTACTAATCAACATTACAGTGACTAATCACTGTACATAAAATACTCTAATCCAAACAAAGTGCATCTAAACAAAGTTTGTAACAATTAGGTCCTGCTTTAAAACAAAATACCGCGCAAAATGATTTGTATTTTATTCGTACTCTTGCGTGCAGTCATTTCTCATTTATTACAGGCACAGGCAGCATTGCATGCTCTACGTAACATGTGAAAAAATATAACTCAGTAGGTACTCACTGCATTGAGTGACAGAGAGCGCATTTTCTCGTCGACGAAAACGTGAAAGTCGCGAACGGACAGACAGACAGACGGACGGACGGATAAGGCGAGCACATTAGTGAATTTTTACCATAAATGAGAAAATGGGCTAAAAACTGTTACCGCGTGCGGCGTCGGAACGAATAAAAGAACTGAGAAACTTGGCAGTCCTGCCAGCTCGACACGAGCGAACTTGGGTACGACTTGATCTTTATTTGTTGTGAATATTGTACTGTATCATGAGCATTTTAAGTGCAATGCTCATGATACAGTGCAATATTCACAACAAATAAAGATCAAGTCGTACCCAAGTTCGCTCGTGTCGAGCTGGCAGGACTGCCAAGTTTCTCAGTTCTTTTATTCGTTCCGACGCCGCACGCGGTAACAGTTTTTAGCGCATTTTCTCATTTATGAAAAAAATGCACCATTGTGCTCGCCATGTCCGTCCGTCCGTCCGTCTGTCCGTCTGTATTATTGTGCGTATCTTATGCCTGGCACTTTATTGTATACGTAGTATTTTACCTTTAGCATTGCTCCTTGTGTATATATTTTATTTGATTGTAAACTTTGCATTTAAAAGTAAATATTGTGAATATATTTTTTGAATACTTACATTATCAGTTTGCTTATATCGCAAGTTTACAGGGAATTTAAAAGCAAAGAAAACACCAAGCAAATTCACCATATCGATATTGAAGTTTGAATATCTCGATATGGTGAATTTGCTTGGTGTTTTCTTTGATTTTAAATTTATTATTATTTACATGAAACGGTTCTCAAATAAGAATAAAATAAATTAATTTAATGAAAGGCAAATGAGAGCTCCATGCTCGTCTGCAAATTAATGACACGTCAACAGAAAAGTCTTCCGTGTAACGATTATTGATAAGATTATTAGTAGTATTAATATAATAAGAGATGCGTCAATCAATGACCTCAGAGAAATTAGTAAGACTTTGTCCGAATAGCGATGCACTTCATGGGTCTTTCTAACCCAGTTTGGAATCAACTACCTCTGCTCGTATAATTGGAAATAAAAAGCATCACTTTTTCGAAAATTTGACCCATTTATTCCTCTGAGTTTACGTCGCTTCGCATGCAAGCATGGCTAGCAAGAGATACTTGAAGCCTCCCCTTCCCGCATCCGAGCTTGGCTAGCGAAATCGATAGTTACCGCTCCCGCCTCGCAGCTGGCCCAGATACGGCCCAAGCGATGCGACCAGCTGGCCCAGATACTACCCTAACGATGCTACCAGCTGGCCCAGATACCACCGAGGGCGATGTCAGCTGGCCCACTAAGCAGGGTTAAGCCAGCTGGTTCAGTAAGCTGGGCTAACCAGCTACCAGCATCCGAGCTTCCCCCGTCAAGGCTTGCGAAAAACATGCACTGAAAGCACCCTTAAAAGTTTAGCGATCCCTCTGATTCCTCGACAAATTTAGTCGTTTTTCATCCAAATCAAAACAACTCAGCTGTTCATTATTATTATTATTATTGCTAATTATTATTATTAATTTCATAAATACACGAGAAAAGAGAAATAATTGGACTGTCTATTTAGGAGGAACTTTTGTCCACTAAGTGAAATTGGCTCCACTCAGATAACAAATTGGCTAACAGATACTTATAAAAGACATAAAAATAAAATGAATAATACCGGTACATAGCATAGAAAAAGTGCAGGTAGTAGATAATATGAAAACTGAATCAATAAATACCATGAAAACCAAATTGATAATAGATGACATGACAGCCAAATAAAAATAAATGGTTTTAAAGCCATGATAAACATATATTGTTTTATAAGTAAATTTAAAACAAATAGCACTAAAACCATAATCGTAAGCATAAACAAAATTGACACTAGCTGACGGTATATACGTAATCATGCTGGCGACAATCCATCACTCCAGTCATTGTGCTATGGTTGCAAAATGGATGAGGATAGATCAATCCCCGTACTCGGTGATAGCATCAGTTACTTGACATAAACAGGGACCAATTCATCCTACCGTATCAATTAAATAAAATATTTATAAGAGTGAAACTTCCCTTGGAGTATTACGATTACCCGTTATATTCCTTGTCTTGGCAGATATATTACTTCATTGGAGCAACAGAATTATGTTTTTTCTTTCCGTATTCCTTTCATCAGAAGATACCGCTTTGCAAATATCACCCCAGATGTTCTTCAGGTTAACTATTCAACAATTGCTCCTCTATTCCCTTCCTAATATTTACCTTATGTATATTATGTACGGCGTTTTTTCAATAAATTATGTTTAACTATTGTAGGCCTTCTCCGAAACTAGATACCATTATTATTGAACATCTGACGCTGAATATTTCAAACACATCCTAACCTGGTCTCCGGACCCGCGATAGCGGCTCTCAGTCCACGTGTTGGTGAACGCCTCGAATCTGAAACAAATAAAAAATAAAGTTTAGAATAATCAGAATTTGTGATTTTGTTTCGATGGATTCCAAGTTTGCATTTGTAATTTTATTGATATCCTGCATTAGAATCAAGCAAACGAGAAGGATTTAATTTGCGTGGAAACACGAGTAAATCAGATGACAAAGTCATCTACGACGAGCAGTCCTTTATCTTGCACATTTACTGGACAACATAGTAATTAATTAAAAACGCACTTTGTTTACAATTAAGTGAATCAAGACCGCCATAAAATGTTATAGTAGCCCAAATAAAAATTATTCCCGAGACATCGATGATTATTTGTGGCTAAAGGTGGAAATTATAGGTGGCACATCAATGGCGTGTCCGGCCTATGTTCCACCTATAACCTGCCGATGGCACCTTAACCGAGAAATTCTTCTTCCACAAATAACTACCCAATAGCTTCGGTGGTGCATCGATGAGCCACCGATGACCACCTTTAAAATGCCGTCGATAAAAATTTTACTGTTAGTTTCAAATCCGTTGTATTTTATTTAATGATATTGCTTCATACGATCACATATTCTGAGGACTATGTGTGCCCATCCACCATGACAGTACAAGTAACTATGTCAGACATGTAGCAGGAACAAATTATCACAGTGCCACCATACACAAAACTCGTCAGAAATCGACTTGAAGAAAAGTCCCTGTCAGCAGGATTCTAACTCCGATCTCGCGCGCGCTAAGCCAAGCCTCTACCGTTGAACCATCTCCTAGAAATTATTGCTATCACCATAAGTCCCTTTCTCTCAAATATTTTCACTGATGTAGGTATGCTCGAATGGTGAAATTCACAGACTAGCGATACAAGCACTGTTGACAAGCACTGAGAGAACCGTGATTCCTTTGAGTAACCTGCCTCAACCTTAGTGGAGCACACAGAGGAGAGACTTGCAGAACTAATTTTCACATTGTCCGGAATTATTGTACCAGTGCAAATATGTTTTTATTGTGATGTTCTAGTAAAAGAAACAAGCAATTTTAGATGGTAATTAGGGACTGATTTTATTGCCTGACCATGCGTTTGCCATTTGTATCTTGTGTGATGTCAGCCCGGGTGGGTGACCTTGGTTAACTGGTTCTTTTGTTTTAGTGATTAGGACTTGCAATTTGCTAGTTGCAACCAGGACTGAGGGCCTGGTGATTTTGCAAGATTTCGGCTGTGTTGTTAACATGCAAGCTCCAACTGCTAGCGTGCCTTGCTGCTGCCATACCATCATAACACTACTAACCCCATTTCACTCTGCACCAACTGGCGGTGTCTGCACACTTTGGTGGCTGTATGCTGGTTTCAGTGTTTCATAATATATTTCTCTAAGCTGTGCCCAGGTGGTTTCAGTAGCCTTACATGCCAGTCTTGTTCACTGCTGTACCATCTACCTCCTTAATATAAATATTAAACTTACCGGGGCTGAACGCCTCCCCTTACAAGGTGACAGGCTTATTTAACCAAATACTGCGATTGTGACACCAAATCTTCGTAAAAAATTACACTTAGAACGGAAAAAGTCTTCTTCTGACGTTGGGAATAATTTTAAACGATAACAAAAAGCATGGGATGCACCTGAAGTGCCAACGCATACCTGGTCCTACGATGCATGTACGGCATTAGGCCTTCAACTCTGGACCAACGTAAAGTTCAGGTAGAAATAGCATTGTAAGATATAACTACTGATACTTTGAATGGTGCGGTGAAGCGTTAGGCTTCGCAGCTCTATGGCGGCCAGGGACACCTAATCAGATTAAAATTCACTTCCACAATCCTTACGGAAAAATAGCAAATGAAAGGCTACTGAATAAATTGTTTCATGTGACACATAAAGGTCGCTTTTTCGTCGATTATCATAACCTTTATTTGTGTCGCGGTTCAAATAACGGAAAATTGATCAAATGTTTTTGCCTTGAGACATGCGTAAATCCAACGAACGATGAAGATTCAATGGCAATATATTGGAGAATTAGAAAAATTCTGCACATTATTGCAACGTCTGCACTTTAACATGAGGAAGAATTAAGCCATCAAAAAGTATGAGGGACTCAAAAATAAAATTGAAAAATTATAAGCGACTATAGTCATCCAAGGAACATCGACGTTCAGCCATCAATCATTGGTGAATTAAGCAGAGAGATGATCACAATTAAGTTAGGATTGAGCCTGCCCATGAGGTTGCGGTGATGGCGATAAACGTCCAATTATGTTATGACATTTAATATACAACGAGATAACACAAGGCAAGTGAAAAAAAGGTGCAACCAGAAACCGGTATGTTCCAGATTTGTTAAAGAATGCCAGTTTAAAAGGGATTGTTCAACAGCAGAAGTCGCGCCATACGAACATATAGCGCAAAAAAGGCCAATCTGAAGTTGGCATCTATAGAAGCACTATAACAGGCAGCTGATGAACCACTTTTAAATCATAAAAATATAACCAGCGCAAACCAGAAAAAACCGCGTTGCTTCAACGAAAAGCTATTAATTCGCTTTCTAGGAACCTCGATATAGTCTGTTGCATGCGGAACCATTCTTGTTTATACCGGTTGTATGAAAGATGCTGAAACTGACTTGGTCAGGCTGAAAACTGAAAGATGCTGAAACTGATTTGGCCAGGCTGAAAAACTGAAAGATGCTTAAACTGACTTGGCCAGGCTGAAAAACTGAAAGATGCTGAAACTGATTTGGTCAGGCTGAAAAACTGAAAGATGCTGAAACTGACTTGGTCAGGCTGAAAAACTGAAAGATGCTGAAATTGACTGACTTGTTCAGGCGACAGAGGCAGCATGGCAAAATTGCAAAGCGTATTGCCTGCATGCTACGGGCCTGACAGGCGATCGGAGGCGTATAACGGGCATGCGTAAAGGGCAGCGGATAACCCGCAAGTCTGTTACCGTTTAATCGTCCAACTTGTGCCAAAGAATAACCTATGTCTTTGTGTACCGATTTAATTCATCTTAGTTTCTTCAAGTTAATGGGTGAATATCGCCAGGAAACCAGACCTTCTGACGGAGTTCAAACGGCGATGGATGACACACGTGACCTTCATGCAATTATCAATGAATTGGCTCGCACGAAACCCCATTTATATAGCTTCTGTTGAGTATTTGAAGAGGTTGGGAAAGGCCATTAATTGTACTGCATGCCATCTTCATAACTTAACTTTTTCGCTTTTTTCTCAACGACCAGCGTTTGAGCATCCGTATTTCGTATGTCGTCCCATTTTGCGACTATTTCGAAATTTTATAGACAAGGTTTAGACAAGGACAGCCCAGTGCAGAATGTCAAACGCATGGGACAACACATGCGTATTCTACGCACACATGGGTGCGATAGCATCGAGTTGGAAAACTACAACAGTCGTTAGAATGTGTATCCAAATACAATATTGGTGCTTGCAGAGACACAAATTTCAGCAAAATACCCCAATAATTATTTTTTCATGCTGTACGAGACGTCGGCGGAGGAAACATCAAGGGGCAGGCCGCCTGCCCTGAGTCCGTGAAATGCGACAATATGAAGCGGTCACTCTGCGTTGCGAAAATGGGGATCGATATGTTGGTCTAATTGCACTGATAAATTTCCAAACCTCTTAGATTTTCGACGGGTAGAATGTGATGTACACTAGATGAAGAACACGCGGAATTTAGTGACTGACACTTGATCCAGACTAAGTACCTCATTTGAAAGATCTCAAACTAAGTTGATGATGAGTCAGGAGGCTGGAACTGATACGTGGTCGGACGATAGGAATGGAAGAACACGTTGTTTGGAAAACAATGGTTGGAATTGACTAACCATCAGGCGGCTGACCAGCGGTAGCAGGCCCGTCGCTAGAAACCTTTAGCTCCCGAGTCCTGAGTGCATGTCAGCGAATGTGCCTTTTAACATGACAAAAATTCAAATGCGTCTTTAACATTTTCTGACCATTTTCTGTTGGGGCACCGGAATAAAGTCCACCCAGTCCCGCCTGACAGAGATCCTGGAGGTTGAGGCTGTAATAAATGGTCCAGTGACAAAAGTTGGAACTGACGATTAGTCAGTCGGGTGGTGGAAGAATACTTGAGCAGCCCCTAGACAAACAATGTGGTTTGTACAATAAATTGACCGTAGAGCCTGAGACACGCACTATTATTGCCTAATATTTTTGGTTGCTTAATAATATTGTGTCTAAGAGCCACATGGCGCGATTGTGCAATATATTGCGCAATCACGCCCCCAGACACAAGCTCGCAGATAGAGAGAAATAGTCCAAGTACCACTGGTTTATTGACAGGTAGAAGTTTATTCACAAAATTTTACTAAATAGTACATGAACTGAGAGTACATTTTAATCAATAACTTGTACTGCTCCGCTTTTTCTAACTATTAGTATAATCTATACATTTAACATCCCATTAAGCTTGGAGACCATTATAAAGCTCACTACATGCCAGAAGTAGTTTTTTTCGATCTCCATGATAAGGACACGCGATCGACATATAAAACTGCTTCGAACGACCTCTAGCTAGAAGACGCGCCGAGCGAATATTGCGCAATGTAGCTCCTCGACGGCACGAATTTTCCCAGTTTGCGCAATATATTTTCAAGATCTTGAAAATCACAATATAGATTGCGCAATAATATTATGTGTCAAAGCGCTGCTCAATAAGATGAATCAGCGTAGTTGCGATACGGATGCGCTGTCGGATGACAGGAGCCCTGCACTGGACTCTGAACTAAGATTTATTTCTTTGAGTAGCAAAACATTGAGTGTGTGGGTTCTTATAGGTGACAATGTCGTTGCGCTCTGGTTTACGATAACAATAGACAACGATGGCGCAAGACCTTCCGCTCCCACTCACATTTGTGGCTCAACGCTCCCAAGTCCTATGCGCTTCTTGAAGTAATACAAATTTATAAGAAACGCTTTCGTGAAATCATGTTCCAGTTGCGATGGCACGAATTTCAGGCTTTGCAATAATCTGTT